AGAGCCCGACCAGAGCGCGAGCCGCGCGATGGCCGCCGCCGCGCGGCCGACGAGGCCGCCGTGCGGCAAAAAGCCCGGCGAGGCCGAGCGCCGCCGCCTCCCAGGCCGCGCCGCGCGGCGCGAAGTCGTCGTCGTCGTCTCCCTCGTCGTCGTCGAAGTCGTCGTCGTCGTCGTCGTCGTCGTCGTCGTCGTCGCCCTCCCAGTGCACGCGCACGTGCCGCGGCTCGCTCACGTGGCGGAGCAGCCGCGCGACGGCGTCCGCGCCCCGGCCGCCGAAGACGAGGGACCGGACGAAGCGGCCGACCGTCGGCTCCGAGACGACCCGCCACGGGCTCCGGCAGACGTCGCAGGTCCGCGACACGCCCGTGGGCGCCTGCGCGGCGAGCCACCGCCCGAGGCACGCGCCGTGGACGAAGGCCATGGACCCGTCGCAGGCGCAGGGCCGCAGGAGCACGCCGCCCGTCTCGTAGCAGATGCGGCACCGCGGCGCCCCGTCGTCGCTCTCCGAGTCGTCGTCGCTCGCGCCGAGCTCCTCGAAGTTCTCCAGCGCGTTCGCCGCCAGGAGCGACGCCATGGGCGCGAGCGGAGATGCCCGGCCGACGCGTAGGACGCGCGCTTGTTTGCTCGGGCGCCGGACCTCGCCTGGGACCGCGCCCGGGCGGCGGGGCAGCGCGGACGTCGGGAGAGCAGGAGAGCCGGCTGATGTGTCGCGCGCGGCGGCGGCGCCGGAGGCCTCAGCCGGATCGGCCGGCTCTGCCGAGGCCTCCGCGCGACGTCCCGGGCCGGAGGTCAGCCCTCGGCCGCCGCGGGGCCGGGAGATCAGGCTGAGATCTCGTAGACCCTGTCGTCGACCGTCGAGCGCGTCGAGCGCGTCGAGGCGATCTTCCTCGCGAACGCAACGGTCGCCGGCGTTTACGCGGCGCCCGCGCGCGCGTCCGCGTCGCGGCGCTCGTGGATGAAGGAGCAGAGCATCTGCGTGTGCGCGAGGCCGCGCTGTAGTGCCAGCTTCGCGTCGAGGGGCTCGAGGAACCAGTCCGGGAGGAAGTCGAAGTCGCGGCGCCGGTCTCGTCGGCGACCGTGACGTCCCGCGGCCTGCGCAGCAAGATTGGCCAGGCCAAAACCCGCGGCGACGCGGAGGACAGCCCGGACTTCGACGCGCTCATGAAGAAGATCTTCAGGTCCTAGACCCGGCCACACCGCGGACGCCTGAGCCGCGCCTCACGCCGTGCGTGACGCCGCGGCGGCCGAGGTACCAAGCATCCCTCCCCTTCCCTCTCGTCGCCCAGGGCCAAGTACCCGCGCGCCCCCGTGCGCGCCATGTGTAGACTGCGCCCCGGCCCGAGGATTTTTGGCGAGCTGTGGCGACTCGGAATTTCGAAGTTGGCCAAATCGTCAAACAAATCACCACGCCGCGATGAACACGGACAACAGCGCCGCACCTGGCGCCACGCCGACGTCCGGCGCGGTGCTCGGCGGCGGCCTCGGCGGCGACGGCCCTTACGTCCCCGGATACGGGCCGCCCGGCATAATGGCATTCTTCGCGAGTCTCCAGCGTCGGGACAATCCTGCCGGCGTCCGGTCGTCGGGCCGGCGGTCGATCATCACTGACGCCCACCGGTCGGGCGTCACGACGTCGCCGCGCGTCCTCTCCGCTACGCGCCGGGCCAACGACGCGCCCGCGCGGTCGGAGGACGCGGCGGCCGAAGCGGCCGCCGCGGCCGAGCCCGCCGCCGCCGCCGAGCCAGTCGCCACGGCCTCGTCCCGTGGTGACTCCGGCCAGGCGGGCTAATCCGCTCTCCTCAGCGAGGTCTTCCGTTCGAACGCGTAGGCCCTGCCGCTCTTCCGCCCCGCGTAGCCGGGCCGCGGGCACCTGGGCCCGCGCCTCGCGCGCCGCGGCGGCCGAGGTACCAAGCATCTCTCCCCTTCCCTCTCGTCGCCCAGGGCCAAGTCCGCGCCCCCGTGCGCGCCATGTGTATAGACTGTGCCCCGGGCCCGAGGAGTCACGTCGCCGGGCCCGCACGCGTCGGGGCGCGAAGAGGTCTCGTCGACCGCCGAGCGCGTCGGCACACTCGGCCGGAACAATGCAACGGCCGCCGGCGTTTACGCGGCGCCCGCGCGCGCGTCCGCGTCGCGGCGCTCGTGGATGAAGGAGCAGAGCATCTGCGTGTGCGCGAGGCCGCGCTGTAGCGCGAGCTTCGCGTCGAGGGGCTCGAGGAACCAGTCCGGGAGGAAGTCGAAGTCGCCGGTCTCGAGGTTCTCCTCGCCGCAGCGCTTCCACGCGTGGGCGTCCGTCGCGAGGTCGCCGAGGAGGTCGACGACGGCCGCGCGGACGCGGGCCTCGCGCGCGCCCGGGCCGTCGCCGGCGCGCGCCGCGAGCGCCGCCGCGAGGCACGGCAGCGGCGGCGCGTCGGCGCCGCCGGCCGCCGCGAGCGTCGCCGCGGCGGCGTCGCCGGCCTCGTCGACGTAGAGGACGTGGACGTCCGCGAGCGGGTCGTCGGCGCCGCCGTCGTCGCCGGCGGCGGCGGCGGCGGCCGTGTGCGCGGAGCAGGCGGCGACGATGGGCACGGGCGCCTGGAGGAGGCCGACGTCGTCCGCGGGCAGCGCCATGACGAGCGCGCCCTGCCAGAGCA